TGTTCCTTTAAAAATAAAAAATAATAATAATCACCTGCATAAGACCGAATGGTCAATATTTACACTAAACCAAAGATGGGAAAGTTGGAGGGGGAGGGTGAGCGGGGACTGCAGCAGAAAAACTGGATTAACAAGAGCAGAAAAACCAGAACAGAAAGAATGAGGATGCTGACGTATCCAATGTCACTGAACAATATGCAGAGAAATTGCTAAATGGGGACTTAATTTACTGTTCAAGGTTTCACCAAAAACTCAATAACATATATTTTTTGTTTAATCATATAGGAAAGGGCATGGATATAGAAAGGTTTGAAGAATAGAGCAAATAGTTACAATTTTACCACAGGCTCACATAGTCATGTGGCTCTAACCACAGTAAACCATCCATACCAGCCGTCAAGTCAGTCCTGACTCATGGCGACCCCACGTGTGTCAGAGTTGAACTATGCTCCATAGAGTTTTCAATGGCTGATGTTTGTCAGAAGCAGATCACCAGGCCTTCCTCCCAAAGTACCTGTGGATAGTACTCTAACCTCCAACCTTTCAGTTAGCAGCTAGTTATGCTAACCATTTGCACCACGCAGGCACTCCAAACCATCCACACAGAGCCCCTCAAAGGAACTACAGATGCAACATGCATTCTGAGACTTCTCAGAAAGAAGCATGGTAATAAGTTTGCCAAAAGGACATGGGGCACTTTAGTTTTGCGTATTTTACTATACATAAATTATATCTCAATGAAATGTATTTTAAATAATAATAATAATAAATTTCTGCAGAAACATTGGAAAAAAAAAAAAAAAAAGACATGGGGGCAGCATCCTCCTCTGACCTCCTCCAACCTCATGAGAGGGAAGGGGAGCCACCATCAGCAGCCCAAGGCTTATTCTTATGAGATCAGACATGCCACCATCCTCCAGCCTTTTTACCAATTGACACCAACAGCCCCTCCCACAGCACTCACTGCTTCTCTGCTGGGTTTGACAATTCATTGTAATGGCCACACAGAACTCATAGACAATACTCAAACTCATGGACAGTATTCATGGTTATGGGGTTTATTAGGGAAGTAACAGGTTACAATTTAGGTTCAGGAACATGCTCAGGATATAGTTCTTCCATCAGGATAGTCTTCCCTCAGTCATGCCCTCAGGCATCCTCTCTTTGGCCCTTGGTGTCTCGGCTTGGCCCCTGCCCTGCTCAGGCAAGTATTACAAAGCTCTTTTAGCTCTGCCAATAGGTGCACCCAGGTGCACCCTACTCTGCAAGCAAGCTTCCTCCAAAGGCACTCAGCTTTCTCACCCCATGGGCCAGCAAGTCCATCTCTCTGTCTTGTGCCTCTTGGTTCTGCTGCCAGGCCATATCTGCCAGGCCGTCTCTGCCAGTAGTCTCTGCCAAGGAGTTCTAGTGCAGGGATCTTGACTCTTCTCTCTTTATGGCAGTGAGATTCCTACTTCTGGTTCTGTTGTTGTTGTTGTTTGCCGTCGAGTCGGACCCGACTCATAGTGACCCCTCCTTGGGTTTCCAAGGCAGTAGCACTACGGAAGTAGATTGCCCCATCTTCCTTCCAAGAAGTGGCTGGTGGGTTTGAACCGCCAGCCTTCTGGTTAGCAGTCAAGTGCCTTAGCCACTATGCTACCAGAGCTCCCACTTCTGGTTTTAGGAGGGCTCATTTTAAACTGAGCAGAATGACAAAACTAACCAATTCCCACGTTAGGGTTCCATATGCCTTATTTGCATAGTGCCACCTCCACAAGGGTGCCATGTACCTTGTTTACATGACTCACAAGCTATCCAATCCCCTTGGTAGGCCACAAGCATCTTACATTTGCATGGTTCTACCCAGTCTTCTGGGGGAAGTCACAAAGACCATGGCTAAGTAATTTGCTGCACCTCAAAGTTAAAGGATACTTTTGCAATGCTTAAAATGCACTACTAGAATTTAAAATATACCTTCTAAAACTTACAGGAGAATGCAAAAACTTTTCATGAAAAGAGACAGATAATATCAGAAACAACATGGAGATACAAGAAACAGAAAGCATTGAACAAGACAACAGAAGCAAGACCAAATATCAGTTCTCACAATAACTGTGAGTGAGAGGCAGACCAAGGGCAGATCTGAAGCATCTTCCTTTCCTCTGGTGTCCTCTGATTAAAGACGTAGTCTCCACAGATTTTTCTCAATCTAGTTCCTTCTGTTTCATAAATAGGAAGGATTCTTCCCAGATTCTGGCTTTCATTTTGAGTGGTAAGTTTCCCCATTTTCCATGGTTTGGGTGGGACTGGGAGAGACTACATCAGAGGCCACTGGCCAGATGCTACTTTGTGTGTGTGACATCCCCACCACAGCCTCTCAGATGAGGCCCTGCAGCACATCCTGCTCCCCCTACCACATCCTACCTGGGTTGGGGGTAATTCTGCAGGTCCTTCCCTCTCTTGTTTTCCCCCACAGCCCACATTCAGGTCACATGCATACAACTCTGATTCCCCACAGCCTCCAGCACAATGCCCTGTCCACACCACCAGCTTGTTATTGAGTTAATTTCAACTCATGGTGACCCCATGGGTGTCAGAGTAAAACTATGCTCCACTGGATTTTCAATGGCTGATTTTTTGGAAGTGGATCATAAGGCCTTTCTTCCAAGGTGCGTCAGAGTGGACTTGAACTTCCAACCTTTTAGTTAGCAGCTGAGTGTATCACCCATTTGCACCACCCAGGCTTTGGTGGTCGGTGGTAGAATTCTTTTTTCCATGTGGGAAATGAAGAAAAGATTGAAGTTGTGAAAGATGTCATTTTACTTGGATCCACAATCAATGCCCATAGAAGCAGCAGTCAAGAAATCCAAATCCAATGACGTACTGCATTGGGCAAATCTACTGCAAAAGACCCCTTTAAAGTGTCATTTAAAAAAAAAAAAAAAAAAGATGTCACTTTGAGAACTAAGGTGTGCCTGACCAAGCCATGGATCTTCCAATCGCCTCATATGCATGCAAAAGCTGGACAATGAATAAGGAAGACCACAGAAGAATTGATGCATTTGAGCTGCGGTGGTAGTGAAGAATGTTGAATACACCATGGACTGCCAGAAGAACAAACAAATCTTGGTTTGGAAGAAGTACAGCCAGAATGCTCCTTGAAAATGAGAATGGCCAAACTTCATCTGTCTTACCTTGGTCATGGTATCAGGAGAGACCATTCCCTGAAAAAGGACATCATATTTGGTAAAGTAGAGGGTCAGTGAAAAAGAGGAAGACCCTCAACAAGAGGGATTGACACAGTGGCTGCAACAATGGGCTCAAGCACAGCAAAGATTGAGAGGATGGCTCAGGACCAGGTAATATACTGTTCGGTTGTACATAGATGTGCCGTGGGTCTGAACCAACTCCGAGGCACTACAACCAATAACATATGGCAGACCGATGTTCAAGTCCTACCCAGTGCCCCTCATGCATAGCCACCACCTGTCTGCCAGTGGAGGTTTATGTGTTGCTATGATGCTGAACAGGTTTCAGGAAAGCTTCCATATTGAGATGGACCAGGAAGAAAGGCCCGACAATTACGTCCAAAAATCAGCCAATGGTCCAATCTCCAACTGATAATGGTGATGGTGAAGGACTTGGAAGTATTTTGTCCCACTGTGCATAGAATCACCATGAATTGGGGGCCTACTTGATGGCAGCTAACAACAACAACAAAGGCTGCAGGCAGTTTAGAGAAACTTATCCATAACGAGGGCTTCATGAATTGATCTCTGCATCAGAAAAGACTCTTTATGTTGCACAGAAACACAACTCAAACAAACTCACATAATCAAAACTGTCCAAGGAATGATCAGGCTTCAGGCATAGCTGAATCTGCAAGTTCAGAAGATGTCATCAGGACTAGTCTTTGTCCATCTCTCAATTGTCCTCTCCTCTGTATTGACTTCAATCTCAAACAGGACCTCCCTAATGGCCACAATGTACCACCAGCAACATTAGCAACCCAACAAAAACAGAACTTTTTTTTACATCTCAGAATGCCAACAAAAAAACAGAAATTGATTCTCATGAGACTATCATGGATCACATGGCCATCACTGAATCAAACACTGAAGCTAGGGATGGACTACTCCAGTCAATCAGGCCTCAGTCATGAACCCACCCTATGAATCCAGTAACAGGTTTGATATAGAAATATTGAGATGTCTCCTACCAGAAGAAGTGAATATTGTAAAGCAGAATGGATGCCCAGTACCATCTTCTTAGTTTCTTCCCAAGAGGAACCCTCTCTGGGTGACTACTGATAAACAATGAGGCCACCATACATACATCTACTTAGTGCTTCCTAATTTACAAAGTACTTATCACATCATCCCAACTTAATCTGCATAACCAGCTCTTGAGGCAAGTGGCATCATTATACCCATTATACAGATGAAGCAACTGAGACTTAGAGACATTAATGGCATGGTTAAGCCATAAAGCAGGTAAGGAACCACCAGAGGGACTATGGAGAGGTGTGTGCAAAAAAAAAAGAGGAAGAATGTACTGACCCTAGGCAACTTCCTTTGTGTGACAAGCTCCTCCACCTCCTCCACCACATCCTACCCTACCCTCCCAGGCTGCAGCCCCTCCACCTTCACCCCTTGGGCATATGTGCCTCCTGCTACTCTCACTTATCATTTGGATCCTTCCAGTTTCTGCCACACCTCTTCTTCAACCTTTGTTCCTCACTCCAGTCTTGTTTCCCTCTGGCCCAGGGAACCTTGGACTCACTTTTATTCACTGCCTGCCCTTCAAGAGGAGCTCTGGTGCGGTAGTGCCTAAGGCATTTGACTGCTAACCAGAAGGTTGGTGGTTCAAACCCACCAGCAACTCCTCAGAAGGAAGACCGAACAATCTACTTCTGTAGAGATACCACGTCAGAAACCCAAGGAGGGGTCACTATGAGTCAGAACCGACTTGATGGTGAGTTGTTTTTATTTTTTATTTTTTCCCTTCAAGACCACCTGGCCATGTGCATAGGAAACTGTGCCCACTGCATGAGGGATCTGATGGTCTGCATCATAGCCAACACACTCCTGCTGGTGCCTAATGGCAAGAGTGAGTGGACCAACCACCTCAGCTTGCACATCTGCTTCATGGCAGGCTTCACTGGCAGGAGCTTGGTGGTGACAAAGCTGGCGAGGGAGATGGGCCAAGGGCGGGTGCCATTCTAAGAAGTTCTGAACTAGGGAAGGAGAGAGAGGGGTAAAAACAGATGCCAGGGAAGAGATGGCATGGCTTCGTGGGGACTCCTGACCTCCCTCTATACACACACACACACACACACACATCCTCTATCCACCAGTGAGAAATCTGTAGAATGTCCTGGAGCAGAGCCTCAGGGTTTTGACCTGAATGTCTGAGCAGAGGAAGGAAGAAAACCTCACTGCTGTGAATGGCTCCCCTTCTCCATAATGGAGCATGACCTACCTGTTCCCCACCCCTGCTACAGTAGGATAGACACTGGGTACACCTCCCTACAAAGGGTGAGGCAGAAGGAACAGCTGGCTGTGTGGAGGTTATCAGGGCAGGGCAATAATGAGTATAGGGGTGGGGCAGTGAACATGTCTGGATCCAGAAGCGACATCACAGGTTGGTACTTCTCCCTATCAGCTATATCACCCTCCCTCTCCTCCACGTCCATTCACTCTCAGCCCACATTTCTGGATGCCTGCTCTGTGCTCCTGAGTCCTGGGGTGGCACAAACGTTAATGCATTCAGCTGCTAACCAAAGGTTGGTGGTTTAAATCCAACCAGAAGAATCTTGGGAGCTCTGGTGGCATAGTACCTAAGAGGTTTAATTGCTAACCAGAAGCCTAGCGGTTCAAACCCACCAACCACTCCTCAGAAGGAAGACTGGGCAATCTACTTCCATAGAGATACCACCACAGAAACCCAAGGAGGGGTTGCTATCAGAAGAAAGGCCTGGTGATCTACTTCCAAAAAATTAGCTATTGGAAACCCCATGGATTCTTTAGAGAGAGAGAAAAACTAATTATCAACTTTATATGGAAAGGAAAGAGACCCCGGATAAGTAAAGCACTACTAAAGAAGGACAAAGTTGGATGCCTCACACTTCCTGATCTTAAATCCTACTATACAGCGATGGTAGTTAAAACACCCTGGTACTGGTACAACAGACACAGAGACCAATGAAACAGAATTGAGAACTCAGAAGTAAATCCATCCACCTATGGACAGTTGATCTTTGACAAAGGGCCAAGACTTATTTAAAAAAAAAAAGGGGGAAAGATAGACTTTTTAACAAACGGTGTTGGCAAAACTGGATATCCATTTGCAGAAAAATGAAACAGGACCCATCTCTCACACCACATACAAAAAACAAACTCAAGTTGGATCAAAGACCTGTGCAAAAAGGACGTGGATGCAGCATCTTCTGACCTCCTTTAATCTAACGAGGGGAAAAAAAGTCACCATCAAAAGCCCAAGGCTTATTCCTATGAAGCCAGACATACTGACACCCTCCAACCTTTTTACTAATGCCGACACCAGCCATCCCTCCCATGGCACTCACTACTTCTCTGCTGGGTTCGATAATTCATTACAATGGCCACACAGAACTCACTAACAATACTCACAATTATGGGGTTTATTAGGGAAGCAATAGGCTACCATTCAGGTTCAGGAACACGCTCAGGAAACAGTTTTTCAATCAGGACAGTCTCCCCTCTGCTATGTTCTCATGCTCACCTCTCCGGCCCTTAATCTCTCGGCCTGGCCTCTGCCTTGCTTGGGCAAGGGTTACAATGCTCTTTTAGCTCTGCTGACAGGTACAACTAGGTGCACCCCACTCTACCAGCAAGCATCCTACCCAAAGGCACTCAGCTTTCTCGCTCTGTAGGCCAGGCAAGCCCGCTTCTCTGTCTCATGCCTTTTGGTTCTATTGCCACCATCTCTCAGCTGGGCACCTCTGTAGAGGCGTCTCTGCCAAGGAAGTCTAGCACAGGGATCTCAGGTCTAAAGACACGCTCCACTCCAACTCTAGCTCTTCTCTCTTGATGGCAGTGAGATCCCCCTTTCTCCAGGAAGGCTCATTTTAAACCTAGCAGAATGACAAAACTAACAAATCCCCACATTAGAGTTCTATACACCTTATTGTGGGACCACAGGAGTAGCAAGATCCAGGTAAGGGGCGGGAGGCAAGGCAGACCCTAGCCCCCTAGAGCCAGGAAAAGGAGGGAGCAGCCAGGGACCACAAAGTGGCAGGTACCAGGTAAGAATTAGGTAAGGGGAGGGCACAGGGGTTTCCAACAGCTAAGGGAGACAAACTTGTCTGTCAGTTTGTCATCCTGTGGTGCCTGTATGTTGCTGTGAGGCTTGAGGCTGTGCCACCACTGTTTCAGACGCCAGCAGAGTTCCACATGGTGCACAGGTTTCAACCCAGCTTACAGATTAAGACAGACTAGGAAGAAGGAGGAGGCCATCCACTTCTCAAAAATTGGCCAGGGAAAACCTGATGAAAAGCAGAGAAACACTGTCTGATACATTACTGGGAAACTTTATGAATAGCTTGTAAACATTGTCCAACATAGCGCAGGAAGACAAACCCCTTGGGTTGGAAGGTACTCACAATAGGACTGGGAAAGAGCTGCCTCATCAGAGTAGATTCAACCATAATGATATGGATAAAGTAAGTCTTTCAGGACTTCCATGTACTGATGTCAAAATGAAATGGAAATGTCAAAAATGTCAAAATATCAAGAATGAAATAGAACACATAAAGATTGATATCCTAGGCATTAGTGAGCTGATATGGGTCAGTTTTGGCCATTTTGAATCAGACAACCATATGCTCTATTAGGCTGGGAATAACAAATTGAAGAAGAATGACATGGCATTCATCATCACAAAGATGTTTCAAGATCTGTCCTGAAGTATAATGCTGTCAGTGATAGGATTATATCCATACATCTACAAGGAAGACCCATTAATACTACTATTATTCAAATTTATCCACCAAACACCAAAGCCAAAGATGAGAAAATTGAAGATTTTTTTACCAACTTCTGCAGTCTGAAATTGGCCAAACATGCAATCAAGATGTGTTGCTTATCACTGGCGACTGGAATGCAAAAGTTGGAAACAAAGAAGAATCACCAGTAGTTGGAAACTTTGGCCTTGGTGACAGAAATAACACTGAAGATTGCATGATAGAATTTTGCAAGACCAAAGACTTATTCATTGCAAATACCTTTTTTCAACAACATAAACGGTGGCTATACACGTGGACTTCGCCAGATGGAGTACACAAGAATCAGATTGATTACATCTGTGGCAAGAGGCGATGGAAAAGTTCAATATCTTCAGCCAAAACAAGGCCAGGAGCTGATTGTGGAACAGACCATCAACTGCTCATATACAAGTTCAACTTGAAGTTGAAGACAATTA